TGCTCTTTTTGCTACTGGCTTTTTGAGATAGGCCCAGACTGTCCTCAAACTTGCAATCCTCCTGTCCTAGCTTCTCAAGTGCTGGGATCATATGTGCTCTGATTTTAAACCCACATTGTACACATGTAATTATCTGGAAAGACCAGAGTTCTCAGTCAGGAACTGTATAAGGTCTTGTCTACCCATTCTATGCAGAGAAAAGTGGGGGAAAGGGCAGGCCTATTTTATTTGGACTGATTTCAGCTCACTATAATCTTTGCCACAAAGCAGAGCACAAATGCACCATACCTGGCCCAAAGGGGCAGCAAGGCCTCTCCGTGTCCAAAGGGCAAGATTCCGTCTGAATTTGAGCAAAAAGATGCTTAAACAGTATGTTGCCTTACACATCTGTCCTTCCTTCCTTCCTTCCTTCCTTCCTTCCTTCCTTCCTTCCTTCCTTCCTTCCTTCCTTCCTTCCTTCCTTCCTTCCTTCTGCTTCAGAACTTTCTATGTAGAGTAGGCTGGCCTCAAACTCACAGAGATCTGCCTGCCTCTGCTTCCAGAGTTCTGGGATTAAAGGGGTGTGACACAAGACTTGGCACTACATCCAGTTTTAGCATAGACCAGGCATTTCCAAACAGCAAGAAAGACTAAGTGTCCCAAATATCAAGAAAGAATTAGTATCTCAAAAATGTACTGGGTATCTTCAGCTGGGTCTGCATTAGTGAAGAATATGAAGTACACACAGAACAATGGTTATTAAATGAGATGTTTTCTAACTATGACGAAGCCTGTGCTATAACAGCTCTCTGAATGAGGCTGAAACTCAGCTTCAGTGTTAGTTGGGGTGCTGGCTGGTCCCCAAGAGCTCATTCAGAGGTCTCGTGGAAGTTCAGAGATTTCAGGTCAAGAGCATCTGTGTCTAAGCTTTTGGTGCGTCTTTTCCCTGGCCTTACAGTCGCTTCCCTAAGCAGAAAAGGGCTTTCCGTCAAGCCTTTGAATGCTTTCTTGGTGGGCCCCCAGTGGAGAAAAGCATTTCCGGTCATTGCGCTGTCGTTTTTGCCCAGGGTCTTTCCCGGGGAGAGAAGTGTATGACTCACAAGGTTCCGGGCAGCACTGAAAGGACTCTCCCGCCACAGCCAGCCCTCCTCTGGCAAGTCACCGGACTCTTTCTTTCCCCCTTTCCTTTCCCATGGAATCTAGTCCTTCCATTTGTCTTTCAAACTTGCCCTTAGACAACAGCGATTCAAGCTCGATTTTCTCCTTGAATGCACTCTCTGTGTGAAAGGGGCTTTTCACCAAAAACGCGCTGCCTGTGCTCCCTCATGCCAGGGGGCCAGACAAAGACCTCCATGCTGGGCAGAAGCTTTACAGACATTCCCACATGCCTGTTACCTTTGGCTAAAACCAACCACAGGTGCATGAAAAATAGAAAAAAGAAGTGTGTGTGTGTGTGTGTGTGTGTGTGTGTGTGTGTGTGTGTGTGTACATTCCTAGGAAAAATACTTCCAAAGCAATAGAGAGGTAACTGGTAAAATTAGATAATCTTTTTTGCCTTTATTTTTGGGGTTGCATTAATTAAGATTCAAGCAGAGCAGGCTTTACAGCTTCATATATGGAAAATGTAAGTGACTGTATGCATTCATGTTGTTAAACACTATTAAGTACCTCAAGGTTAAAAAAAAGTTCAGTTAATAACTTTTATGTGCCTAAAACCCCCACAGATACAATATGATGGTTTATCTTACTCCAGACTGAAATATGAGACACTAGGAAAATTTCACTTCACTCCCAACTTTTCTGCAAAGGCATTATGGAAGATGAATGTTTTTTTTTTCTGGCTTCCCAAATGTTATAAACAGTCACCAGGAGAAGAAGCATTCACAGAACAATCATCTAGATATCCAGATGCCGGCTCGTATTGAAACTCCTCAAAGCTAGCTCTCTGTAGGGCAGGGATTCTTATGTTTCAGGTGCTATGGTCATGTGCTGGCTCCGAGTGCCGGCTCTGTGTGCTGGCTTGTTGAATCATAGCAGCACAAAAACCAGGGAACCCCTGTTTCTTCTATGTTTACTTCCTCTATTTCACTCTATTCCTGCCCCCTCCTTCCTCTCTGATCTTAGAGAGATCAATGCAGCTGTGCACCCAGCTAGAGAAATTGCCCATTTGTGAGGCTTCAAGGACCTGAGAAGTTACCTCCAACCCCACATTTCTTTTTGCTCGTATGATGGAAGTCTCTTAAAGGTCTGTTTTCAGTGAGACTTACAAACGTAGTTGTTAACAGTCATTAAAACACTATAACCTGGTCTGGAGCTATAGCTCAGTTGGTAGAATGCTTGCCTAGTGTATAAGATGCCCTGGGTTCAATGCTCCCATACTGTGTAAGTTAGGTGTAGTGGTGCATGTCTGTAGGCTCAGCTTTGAGAAGAGGTAGAAGGATTAGGAGTTCAAGGTCAACCCTGCCTCAAAATAACAATAAAACCCCTGTAAAAGGTGATTTTGCATATTATATTCATAATTTACATGTATGTACTTGCATAGGTTTATATGCATCCCAGTACTCAAGGAGGCCAGAGAGCATTGGATTCCTGGAATTGAAGTTGTGAGCTGCTTGAAGGGCATTTAACCACTGAGCCATCTCTCCAACCTGATATTGATCTCCAACCCTATTCTGAGGCAATTTTTACAGTGATGGCATGAGTATGAAAAAGGATACTGGGGGCTAGGCATGGTAACTTAGTCGTTCAAGATTGTAGGCTACAACGTCAGGTATTTCATGTTGAGCCTACATAGCCATAAGACAGCTGCACAGGTATAGAGAGCTGAGGTGACTGTAGAGTATACAGTGCACCTTTGCTTACATTCAGTACCCTTCCTAAAGCAGGAAGTTATGTCAATGTTAAGTCACATGCAACGGAATAGAAAAATTCTCTTGACCTCATTTGATTCTTTGGCCTTATAACAGGTTACAAGGGTTACAGAATGGAAAGTTTGGTCCCTTGGATCAAATGGAAAGTAAAGGTCTCTTTATTTGGATCTTTTTTCATTTCTGTTTTAATTATGGCCAAGAATATTTTGACTGGAGCCAATAGAGTTGGTCCTCTGACCTTGTCCTTGAATATTCCTTCCTAGGAACCTGACTAGTGAAGAGTGCAATGGTTCATGAGCATTGCAGCCTGTTGAAAGGGGGAGCTGCTCCTCCAGGGATCTACTGTAGGGAGGACAGACCTGGGCTGGATGGCTGCAGCCACATGAGTTAGCAACCACTGGTGAAAAAGCAAAATGTGTCCATACCACCTCCCACGCAACAAGAACAGCAGTCACCACTTATCGCTTAGCAGAGTTCTGTAGTCATTCTACCATGTGTGGGTGAGAGTGAGAGGATCCATCCAGAAGGGTCCCAGTCGGTAGGAATGGAAGACTATTTCAGGACATCCGAGTTAGAAGCAGGTAGAGTTAGGCAAGGCTTTTCTGGGATGTGATATTTCAAACAGACATGGAAGAGAGTAGAAAGGAGGAGAAAGGGAGTTCCCAGCTGTAGGCAATGCCTATAATGTATGAAGGCATTGAAGCAGGAAAGAGCTTTGTTTTGATGCTGGGGAGGAGGTTGGCACCGCTGGAAGGAGCTGATCGAGTAAGGGGAATGCAGGAAAGTGAGGGAGGATCTGTCTGCATCCCACTACCCACTTATCTGCTGGGAGATCACCATGCTCTCCCAAAATCTTTTTTTTTTGTTGTTGTTTTTTAAAAATAGTATTATTTTTTATTTTGGTTAGAAACAATCTTGTTTCACATGTCAATCTCTGCTCCCTCTCCTCCCCTCCTCCCCCGCCCTCCCAACCAGGTCCCCCAGTCTCCCACCCATCTCCACTCAGATCTCCAGGGAGGGTGCAGCCCTCCATGGTGGATCTCCAGTACTGTCATTTCCTCCAGGGCAGGGCCTAGGCCCTCCCCCAAGAGTCCCGGCTGAGAGAGCCTCCCATATTGTGGCATGCTCTCCCGAAATCTTAAACATGGAATTGCCATATGATCCAGGGTATACACACTGAGAATATATCTTAAAGGATGAAAAGTAGGGGCACACTCAGATATTTTCATACCTACGGCTCATAGCAGCAGTAGACAAAATGTCTATTGACAGGAGTTCAATGGCAGATTAACAAAGAAAACGTGGTGCACATGTATAAGAGAATATTATTCAGCTTGAACAAAGGAAAGGAGATACTGACCCGGGTTACAGCATGAGTAAACCTTGAGGACATCATGCTAAGTGAAATACACCCCCCGAAAAGGACAGACATTCCATAACTTCACTGATATGAGGCAATTTTGGGGAGCCAAAGGGAAGAGAATAAGGAGTTACTGTTTAGCAGGTACAGAAATTCAGTTTTGTAAGATGAGAAAGTTCTGAAAATGGATGGTGATGATGGTCACACAACATGGATGTATTCAGGACCACTCAGCTATATACTTACAAACTGTAACTGTAAAATCTTGTGTAGTGACCCACGCTTGGAATACCAGGCTGGACAGATGGGGATGGCAGGTCCCTGAGGCTCACTGGCCATCCAGCCTAGCCTACTGCGTGAGTCTGGGCTGCAGAGAAAGCTTATTTCAAAAAATCAAGGTGTACTGAGCTTGTTTCAAAAAACCAAGGTGTACTGCACCTGAGGAATGACACCTGAGGTTGACCTGTGACATGCATATGTACACAAAATTCTTTTTCTCTTTTAAGTGAATATTAAACAGCGTATATTTTACCACAGTAAAACAAAAAGTATATTGGGATGGAGAGAAGAGGGTGGGGAGTAGAACCAGAAGCTAAATGAGAGGGTCACCAGCTCTCTGGTTTTTCTCATAGCCCTAGGAAGAGCCTAGGCTGGTTTAAGTGGAAGATACCGTCATGAGTAGAAGCAAGTGTGTCTTCCATTCTTTTTTTTTTTTTTTTTTTTTTTTTTTTTTTGGTTTTTCGAGACAGGGTTTCTCTGTAGCTTTGGAGGCTGTCCTGGAACTAGCTCTGGTAGACCAGGCTGGCCTCAAACTCACAGAGATCCGCCTGCCTCTGCCTCCCGAGTGCTGGGATTAAAGGCGTGCGCCACCAACGGCCGGCTGTGTCTTCCACTCTTTTTGAGATGGCTTAATGATGGACCAGAAGAAGAAACAAGAAAGAAAGAGTTGAACTTTGGACTCTGTGAGCAAGAAGAGAAAGGAAACTACCACTGAGTGGACCAGGTTGTAGCCCTAATGGTATGGTGTTTGCCTAATATGGATGAGGTCCAGAGCTTGATTCTCAAGAACCATATATACTGGGTGTGGCAGCATACCTGTAAGCCCAGTGTTAGGGAGGTGGCAGCCGGAGGACCAGGAGTTTCAGGTCATTGTGAGTTTGAGGCCAGCCTCAGATCTATCAGCCCCTGTATAAATACATATATGCATAAAAATAAAATTGCCACTAATTGCCATGGCGAGTGCTGGGAATTGGGAGAAGCAAGCCGCAGAGTTCAAATGTTCAAGCTGAGACACAGTGCTTTTGAGATGATTGCAATGGATTCAAGGACACATGTCAAATGGGACGTTGTAGATACAAGTCTAGAATTTAGAAGGACATTCCAGGGAGGGGATGTGAGATGACAGAATGGCGTTATCGAAGTCACAGGAACATGTGAGATTACTCAAGTGGAGGGCGTACACTAGTGAAGAAAAACAACAAAAAATAGTCTAAGAAATGAGACAAGCCCACACCAGATCTGCCAGGTCAGCCTTCAATTCCAGCAAATTAGCTTGTTTTTCCTCCTTAACCAAAGCTGTGGGCACTCTGAATGATGTTGGTGCCTAAATATAAATATCTTCAGGAGACCAAGAACACAGGACAGACATTGAAGACCACAGTTCCAGCAGTCACAGGGACCCGACCTGTCTCTTCCAGTTACAGAATGCAGACGATCAGCACAGGGAGCCCACAGTCCACCTTGAACTACAAAGGCTGTCCGTATTCCCCTTTGCTTTGAGTTTACATGGTAGTCTCCCTTTTTCTTCAGACAGTCTGACTGAGGATTTGATGGCAGCAAGTAACAGCATGAACTAAAATCCCCTTAAGAGAGATGAGCATAAGAAGCTTTTCCATCGTCTGCTGCCTTCAATTTGTTCTGTTTACAGTACAAATTGGTTAGATTTATTTCATGTTATTTGTTTTATTTTAGGCTGACATAAATAGAATTGTTTCCTTGTTTTCTTTCTCCGTATGTTTGTTGTTGGTTTATGGGAAGGCTACTGATTTTTGTGTGTTAATTTTGTACTCTATTCTACAGCTTTGCTGAATGTGCATCTACCAGCTGTAGGGTTTTTTTTTTAGTGGAGTCATCAGAGACTTTTATGTATAAAAATTATACTGTCTGCAAATAAAAACACTCTGACTTCTTACTTTCCTATTTGTATCCCCTTTATTACCTTCACCCGTTTTGTTGCTTTAGCTAGGGCAGGGGTTGCTTTAGCTAAGGTGGGGTTGCAGGAGAGAGTAGACGTCTCGTCTTGTCCATGATTTTAGTGAAAATGTTTTGAGTTTTTCTCCTTTTAAAATGATGTTGGCTGTGGCCTTGATGCATATTGCCTTTATTATGTTGAGATATGTCTCCGTGTTCCTAGGTTCTCCAGAAGTTTTATCATGGATGGATAGTGGATTTTGTTGAAGGCCCCTTTTGCATCTACTGAGATGATCCTGTAATCTCTGCTCCAGAGTCTAAGTGGTGGATTACATTTATTGACTTATGTATGTTGGACCATCCCTGTGCCTCTGGGTAAAGCCAACTTGATCGAGGTGAAGAAGCTTTTTGATGTGTTCTTGAATTCAGTTTACAAGTATTTTGTTGAGAATCTTTGTGTATGTGATCATTAGATAAATTGGTTTATAATTTGGGAGACACTAGTGGTAGGGTTGGGGGAGGGTTTGGAACAGAGAAAATGGGAGGTGGCCTTGGCCAAAACACATGGTAGACATGTGCAAAATTTTCAAGCAATAAAAAGAGATATGAAGGGGAGCTCTTGAAGCCCAGACTGATGGCTAAGAGGCCAACAGGGGACTGATCCAGACTCTAGGAATGGAGTGTCAGTGAGGAGGCCTCAGAAATCTCTGGGGCTTTGGGTAGTAGATTAGTGTTCACCATGGCGTACAAATGAACTTTGGGAGCCCATTCCACGTGGAGGGATGCTCTCTCAGCCTGGACACATGGGGAAGGGCCTAGGTCCTGCCCTGAATGAAATGGCAGACTCTGGAGATCCCCCCAGGGAGGGCCTCACCCTCCCTGGGGAATGATGTGGGGATTGGGCGAGGGGCTGGAGGGGGGCTGGTGGAGGGACAAGGGAGGTGGGGTGGGAGAGGGAGCTGGGATTGACATGTGAAGCATGCATGTTTCTAATTTAAATAAAAACATATATTGAGAAACAATTAAATAAATGTGACTGCTTAGAAGAGAGAGAGAGAGAGAGGGAGAGGGAGAGGGAGAAGGAGAGGGAGAGAGAGAGAGAGAGAGAGAGAGAGAGAGAGAGAGAGAGAGAGAGAGAGAGAGAGAGAGAGAGAGAGAGAGAGAGAGAGAGAGAGATATGAAAAATCAGCGCAAGATTCTAGTGGTAAAAGGTGTCAGCTACCGTGCGCATATACACATATATCAGACCAGATTCATTCTCTTCTTCCTTCCTCCCTCTCCCACCTCTTCCTTCCCATCTTTGTCCTGGTTTACTGTCTCTCCTTATTCTTCCATTTCTCCCTCTCTTTCTTGTAATACACTTTGAAAGTTATAGTTAGCTTTTATTTTCTGGACATACTCTAGTTGACCCAGACAGGTAAAGAGATGAGGAATTAGTCTGAGAATAATCAAGTTTTTTCTGAACATGTAAGAACTTCCTACACGCTTAGCAAACTCCTAAAAATTGGCATTTGGGTTTGGAAGAATTAACCACCCACGTTCTTGGACTAGGATGGGGTTACTATGATTTCTGTTGGCATAAAGCTAGGGATCTGGAGTCTGTTGAGACATGTGTACTTTACTGACAGCTATCTCTCCAACACATAGTCACTTAATTAATGTGTGTGTTCCTCTGTATGTGTGTAGGTACACAAGCACATAGGTGTGTATGCTCGAAGGCCAAAGGACAATATCAGATGTTATTGTCAGGAAGGCCATCCACTGTCTTTGACCCAGCGTTTCTCATAAGCTTGAAGTTTACTAATTAGAATAGATTGACTGGCCAGGTAGATCCAAGGCAGGAATAGGAGATGACAGGCTTGAACAAGCCATGTAATGTGCTGAAGGTTAATTGATAACAGTCATGTCATAAAACAAAACAATTTGAAGGAGCCCACAGCTTTGTCCAAAAACTACCTATACCACTGTCCCAGTGAGTTAGACAAATATTACTTACCATTGCTCAATGAGTTTGGGTTAGTTCAGTCAGTAACATGGTGAAGCTGGGCAGCAAATGGAGGAATAAAATGTAATGTGTTCTCCAAATACGTCCTAAAAGAATACTGAATTGCGGGCAGGACAAGCTATGGTAAAGAACAATAAGAAAAAATGATGAGTGGGTTTCTTACTTAAAATAAATGTGATCAAGTTGGATCTGGTGGTGCATAATGATTTATAGTGCAAAATACTGAGACTTGGTTTTCTTAAATGTGTTTTTTAAATTGTGTGTGTGTGTGATCTATGTGAGTGAATGTCACAAGTGAGTGGATATGCCTAGGGGCCAGAAGAGGGGGTCTGGAATTATAGGTGGTTGTTAGCTGCCTAGTGTGGGTACTCGAGTGGAATCTGGGTCCTCTGAAAAGCAGCAAGTGGTCTTAACCACTAACTATCTCTCTAGCCTCGAGACCTTGATTTTTTAGATAACTGGATAATTTGTTCTATAGATGAGCTTGTAATAGACAAATCCACATTTTCTCCCAGCATATCTGAATATCCAAGTTTCCATGTATTTATTTACTTATGTATATACTTGTATCTATCAATTGTCCATTTATCTTTATTATCCTATCTTATCTATCTATTCATTTGCGTGTTCACTCATTTATTTATTTTTTATCTCTCTATCTACCTGCAGATATGAGTTACAACATGATATTTCAGTCAGTGATAGACTACATGAACAAAATGGTACTTCCGTGATATGGAACTGTGAAATTCCTAGTGTGCAGCGGCACTGTAACATTATAGCAAAATTTACCACTCAGTTATTTATGTGAAAGTGGTGTGACAAGCTCTCTGTGTTTCCCAGCATGTGAAATTATGAATAGCACTAATACTTGATAATTAATCACAATATTATTGATTATATTAGGCAGAATTCTCTAGAGGAGTAGAACCAGTGGATGTGTGTGTGCATACATATATATACACACACATATATATATATATATATATATATATATATATTTTAAAGGGGGTTTGTTAGACTGATTTAAAACTGATATGAGCTGGAAGTCAAACTATGCTGGAGAGTCTGAGTCTACAAAGCTAGGTGCCTCTGCAGTAACATACTGGTGATGAAGACCAGGAAGTTTCTTGTAAAGTCTGTAGTCTTTAGTCCACATTGGAAGTCTGGAGAAGCAAGACTCTCTACAAAGGGCTACAAATCACCATCAGGGTAGATGCACTCACCAGCAACTCACCAGCAAGACGAGAAGACATGCAAGTGGGCAAGTCTGCTTAGTCCTCAGATCTACTTATAATTAGGCTGCTTCGGGAAGGCGCAGTCCACTCTTTGAGGGTATTTTCTCTCCTCAAATACCTCCTTCCTAGAAATGCCCTTACAGGCCCTTTCTCCTCTTCACCCTCCTACTTCTTCTCCCTCCTCCTCCTCCTCTTCCTCCTCCCACTCCTCCTGTTTCCTTTCCTCTTTCTTCTTCTTGCTCCTCCTCCTCCCCCCACCTCCTCCTGTTCCTCCTCTGATATGGTTCCCCTAAGTGGCTCCAGATCACTGTGTAATCCAGGCAGGCTTCTTGTCTCGCTTTCTAAGAGCTGGGCTACACCCAGCTTTCTCTGTACTTTAGCCATTCTTTTATAGGGTACTCATTGTACTTATGTAAGTTTCCTGTAAACAGTGAGCTATGTTATACAGCAGCAGCCTCATATGATTCATGTTTATTACTGCACTGAGAGGGCCACACTGAGGGACTGACATATACAATCTGTATTTGTGTAAGTATATTCTATGATGTTTACATAATGATGATATGGTCCAAGATGTATCCACATGGGTAAGAGATAGCTCTCTAATCTAATCTCTCTCTCTCTATCTCTCTGTCTCTCTGTCTATCTATCTGTCTGTCTATCAATCTGTCACTCTTCTATCTTTTCAGTCCTTTCTTCTATTTCCCTTCCTCACCATCATCCTTCAATTTAAAAAGATAAAATATTTATCTTTAGAACCAGGTAAGCAGCTTGGTATGAGAGAAAATATTAATGGAATTAGAAAAGATAATTACATTGTTGGATGGGGATAGTTTATATGAACCATGAGTCTATAAACACATGATTATGGGCAGAACTGGGAATCTATATATTTTCTCCTCCCACCTCTATCCATTTTTAAAAGACACTGTGATTTAAATAGGCAATCTTCATAACAATTGGCAAATATTGTTTATGAATTAAGAAATGAGATTAAGGGGCTGGAGAGCTGGTTTAGCAGTTGAGAGCATGGCTGCTCATTTAGAGGAGCTGTTTTCAACTATCAGCACCTATGGTGCCTCATAACTCCAATCTTAGGAGATCTGATGCCCTTTTCTGGCCTCCATAGGCACCAGGCACAAAAGTGATACAGACATATGTGCTGGCCAAAACACCTACACATTAAAGAAGAATAAAGGAGGAAGAGGAGGAGGAGGAGGGAGGAAGGAAAAAAGGAAGGAAGGAATGGAGGAAAGAAAAAAATTAGTTAGGAGATTTACCTAAAGTCCCAGAGATGAATGAAGAACAAGATTTGGATGTGCCTGCATGGCTCCAAAGCAATCTATATACCAGACTGTGTAACTAGGCTGGCTTTATAATGGCTTTTATGTCCTGAGACAAGCAAATTCAGAATTTGTTCCAGCCAGTGCATCTCAAATGTCCAGACACAAAGCAGATTTTGTGAAAATGTTCATTTGACAGTCTTCTTTGATGTAAAGGGCTATGGGCACAATCTGTTGTCCTGTTGTGGTTTACTCTGGCCTCTAAATTTTGCTTTAAAAACCCAGAAAAAAAAGGCATGGAGTAAATTTCCATGGCTGTGAGAAACCTTGCTAGAGGCTTACCCTAGTTGCTCAAATACATATTCTTGACCAATCACATCTTCCCCAGTTCTTACAGTTACACAGACAAAGGCCAGATGAGCAATGTCTTCTAGGATGGTCTTCCAGACAGCTAGGTTATTGCCAGGTCCTCCTCAGGTAGGGCTGGGGAAGGGCTGGTCCACCTGTCTCTTCCCGGGGCTGAGCGGGATGGTAAGTGTTGACAGCTCACACTGCTCCCCTTCCCAGTTACTGGGGAGAACTACACACTGAGTCGGGAGACTTGTCGAAGCAGGATCTCAATTTATTCCAATAGGCAGGAGCTTATATAGGACTGAGGTAGGGATGGGAATTTTAGGATGGGGTAAGGTTATATGAGGAGTAAGGGCCAATAATATTCCACCAAGCAGGCAGGTAGCTAGGCAGGGCTGGCTGAGTCACCCCCATGTGGAGGTTACAGGCCAGAGACGGGTTGCCAAACTCTAGCCAGGCTCAGGGGCTTACACTGGGCTTCACATCTGAACCTTTTTAGGCCCAACAAGTTATAAAGTCATTCTTCTACTATGTTAGTTGTTTTTCTCATTGCTGTGGCAAAATGTGTGGCAGAGCGACCTCAGGAAGGGTCAGTTCACTTGGGTCCACCAAGGATGCAGTCCATCACAGCATGCCAGGAACAGGAGGGGCCTGGTTTTGCAGCACTGACAGTCATTAAGCAGAGAGGTGAATGTTGGTTCTCAGCTCACTCTCTCTTTTTTATCTGGTCTGGGACCCTATCCCATGGGGCAGTACTACTCATATTCAGGGAGGATTCTGACCTAGGCTAAACCTCCCTGGAAAAGTCCTCATAACTGCTCCCAAAGGCCTGTCTCCTAGGTCAGTGGTTCTCAACATATCAGGTATCCTGCATATCAGATATTTACATTAGGATTTGCAACTGTAACAAAATTACAGTTATGAAGTAGCAACAAAAGTAATTTTATGGTTGGAGGGGGGTCACCATAACATGAGGAATTGTATTAAAGGGTTGCAACAATAGGAAGGTTGAGAACCACTGTCCTAGGTTATTCTAAATCTGACTAAGTTAGCCATGATGATGAGCTATCACTCTCTCTCTCTCTCTCTCTCTCTCTCTCTCTCTCTCTCTCTCTCATGTTGAACTATCATAGCTGTCTAACTGAGCAGGTACTCTTGACTCTTCAATGGAAGCAGTATCTTGATACTGACCTTCAAATAACCCCTGCATTTCATAATGTGTAACCATTTAATTTTGTACAGGTACAACTTCGAATTACATGCCATGGCACACTGTATTTGCTCTGTCCAACTGACATTTCAAATGAGACATTTAGCTAACAGGGGGATGGGAGTTAGAACTAGAGAGCTCATCGGTGGTTGAAATATTTATCTGTTTTTTAAGACAGGCAATCAGTTTGGTAAGGGAGAAATGTTAATGAAATTAGAAAATATAATTACATTGTCAGATATGGGTATTTATAAGAAACGTGAGTCTATGGTCCCGTGACTGTGGGAAGAACTGTGAACCTATGAAATCATTATCCAATCCTTTAAGGTTGTCTTCTCATTTGGGAAGAGATGGTTTCCCAGTGCCCAAGGTCCATTGTGCCTGGATATGGGACAAAAATCAAGATGATTGTAAAAGTGATGAAAGATCCTCATAAACGTGAAGTTGATATGCGTACTGGAATGTCATCACATGCTTTATTGCTGTTGTAATTTCCCAGAAGGTTTTGTTTCTCGGAAGGCAGAATAGAAATGCTCCTTGTTAGGTACATGTGCTGCTTCTCTTGAAGCATTTTTGTTGATGTTGTTGTTTCATCTGGCACAGGTGACATGAATCTTGGCCAGAAGCCACTCGATGGAACAGTTTTCTTTGCTGCCTCTGCTACCAACAGCAGAGCAAAGTCACCCATCCCTTCTGTCTGGACACATCTTACACAGAGTCTCAGGTGCCCAGCAGCAAGCTGCAGTCTACCTAGCCAGCTGGACAAAGGCAGTTACCAAAGACAGAGTTTCTAATCTGGAGGAAATAATTGGAACAACTCACACCTGTGAGAAAGTACCACTCCCACAGAAGAGGCATTCCTGTGGGTGTAGGCTTAGAGTCACCTAGCGCAGGAATGATACAGATGTCAGGCCACTCTAGGTAGAAGAACAACAAAATAAAGTAATAGGGTTTCGTTGTGTGCCAGGTGGCTGCAGAGGCTCCTATACCCTACTGCGAGTTTGCCTGTGTGGAAAAGTGTGTTGGCGGCGCTGTCTGTTTCTGTTAGTCCTCTCAACCATCCTCTCCTGACCCGCCCTTTGCAACTGGCCTGTATTTCCTTTCCAGTTTATGACTCAAGAATCTGTAGATAAGGGGAAGGGCACAGGGTCTTTGGTTTTTCTTTTACCTCATTCTAAGTTGTTGTGTTCTGCTTGAAAAGTAAACTTTCTTTTTTTCTCGAAAAACGAATGACAAGAGAGAGAGAGAGAGAGAGAGAGAGAGAGAGAGAGAGAGAGAGAGAGAGAGAGAGAGAGAGAGAGAGAGAGAAGGCCTCTCTCAGGACAGAGTGGCAGTGGCTTCTTGTAGCCGACTTCCTGTTTCTGCCAAGCCAGACAGGGCCTGTGTCCTCAGCTCACCCTGGCTCTGCAAGCCATATGCAAATAAGCCATATGCAAATAAGCGGCTTCAGTGCCTGCCCATAAGAGACTCACAAAGCAAACAGAAATGAAACAAAAACAAAAAACAAAACCACTGTCGCCACCAACTACAAAAAACACTCCACTACAACCAATTTATTCCAAGGGGTGCTGCAGAGCAGGGGTAGGGGGTGTAGGGGGTGGGGAGTGGGTATGGTGTTGAGGAGTCCACTGTACTCTGTTTAGCCCTTTAAGCTGTGAGCTCCCTCCCTCCCCACTCACTTCCCTAAGGAACTCTACTCAGAGACGATGAAGAATTTGAGGCATCTACAGAATAACTTTTCTAACCTTTGGCCCTGTGAACTGCTATTTCTAAGGCTAATTTGCTTTGATAGGAGAAAGGAATCAAGCGTCTTAAACCAACTTGCTGGACTCATTTCACAAGTAGTCTCGAGAATAACCTTTTTTCTTTTAAAAATTGCTTATTGATTTATTTTAGGGAGAGAGTTGAGTTTCACTAGATAACTCAAAGCTGGTTTTGAATCTGTAACCTTTCTGTCTTCACTTTCCAGCTGCTGGGGTTGTAGGCATGACCTACCACACAGATTGAAGGTTGTGTTGTAGTAGTTGTTTTTGGTACTGGGGATATTAGGTAAGATGTGTACTGCTAAGGTATAGTGCCAACTGTTTTTAAAAAAACTAGTTGAGGCAGTCTCACTGAGTTGCCCAGACTGGCCTCGCATACATTCTACAGCTCAGGTAGACTTTGAACTCTGTGCCTTAACCTGCTGAGTGTCTGGGATTAAAAATCTATGCCACAGGATCCTGATGAAAGTTGATTTCTTTTAGGAGCTGTTTTTGGATTAGTTACT